ATTTGGAATTTGACACAATGACCCACCATTGTGTGCTGGTGTCACGGGTCTTTGACGTCCACTCTGAGACGACGACAGTATTAGTCAGGGCGGCCGCTGCAATCGAGCCGTGAATGACTGCAACAAGCGTCGAACACACGACCGCTCTAGGCCAATGTCGCCGCCCCTTAGGCATAATGCATGCATATGTAACGCATATCTATGCATACCGATGTATGCATTATGTAGCTGCATGTTTAGAACGCAACGACAGTGACATCTGTGTCTACTGCACGCGGGACTCTAACCGGCGACCTCTGGAGGGGACCGGTCCAGCGCGCTGACCATCACACTGCCGCAGAATCAATCCTGCAACAAGGGTGACTCCGTTCCGTCTCCACGTGTATGCATGATGTAGCAGCACGTTCAGAGTGCACCAACACTGAAGTTCAAAATGCTCACATTCCTGCGAGCCTTGGATCAGTGGCATCACACGGAGGTGATCGCCGCAAATTGCTGGTTCCTGGGGATCTGGCAAGGCTTGCCTCTGAGTGACATTGCAAACAGACACACACAGACAGGGCATATCAATAACGCGTGGTCAGCTACAGACAGTAAAGACGTGGGAAGGTGTTATGTGTGTGTGTGTGAATTATCCGCCGTGTGACCACTGGATTTTCTTGCTATTAAAGCCCAGCATAGCACACATGGAGGATGTATATCTGCGGATGGAATGTTAATAATATGCTATCACCTAATAATATACCATCTCGTGTCGCCCTATCGTGCGCGGATAACGCATCGCACACACCCTTTATTCTTCACGCGTTCAGAGGATCAAGGCAGTGGTTTTCAAAGGCATCTTCCCACGGTCCTTGGACACCCTGCCACCTTAAACAAATTCCCTCTACACTAGCGGTTCTTCTTAACGTAAGGTGCACGCTGCACCCCCTGGGGGTGCGAGATGTCCTTTCTGGGGGTGCGAGACACGGCCAGATTTGTTTTAAAAGGTGAATCATCGAAACACAAATTAAAGACGGACACCTAAGTTACAACTTACGTTGTTTCATCAAACCCCTGTGTTGTTTCATTAGCATTATACATTTTTTTTTTACAATTGAGAACCAAAGGGCTGCAAGGCTGCAGCAAAGGTTAAGAACCACTTGCTCTATACAGATGTATTTATTGACGATAATAATAATTACAATAATGTACTCCAGGGCAGTGGCGTAACGAGCTTGGGGGCAGGGGGCGCCTTGCCGCCCCTCCCGTGGCCACAGCTACAGTACGAGCTGGGGCCCATTGATAACCACCACGAGATGTGTTTTCAACAGCAGCAGTGTGAAGGGAACAATGCACTTATTCAAAACGTGGTTTAAATGTATTAATCACACTCGGGGAGTCGGGTTCATAGCGCAGTGCGCTCACCGTTAAACTTCCGCTTCCCATGAAAACAATCCCACACGCAAACTCGCACGCATACCGATTGTTGTGTAATGTGTACTTTGCTGAATTCATAATGAAGGGTTTTTTTTGGGGTTAGATCGCGTAAGTGTAAATCGCCCGATGATGCTGGTTGATGTAATTACCAGCGAAACGTCGTACTACTCAAATTGCAAATGTTGTGGATTTACTCTCCAACACGCCGGTGGGCTGAAGTAGTAACGAATTGGCGCGTTGTTTACGTGACAAATCCCTTACTAATTGGTTGTGTCGGGTGGTGGAGGGTTACGACGCATTTATACTTACGCGATCTAACCCAAAACACCTTTATTATGAATAATATTGGTCGCGAAAGCCTACGTGTTAAACTTTGCTGAATTCCCTTGAGCAAATTCCGTTACCGTATATAGCATTTGCTATAAGTCATGTCACATTGACAATCCACTGCTGAATGAGGGCCTCCTCCCCATATCGTGGTCATGCCGACTGTTGGACCATACCTCACCGCCAGGCCGGTAAATGCGAGGTTTAAGATCACTCGCCACCGATGTTAGCCACAGCCAAGAATCGAACTCAAGTTTCGGGGTTGATTGTGCAGTCCCCGCTAGCCGCTAATGCCACTGCACCGCCCACCGCCTTGAGTGTTGTCGCGTTCGTGAGTTCTCTCCTTGCACGCTGCCAGTTTTGATCCTCGTGCGCAACACCCAGAGACCGTGCCTAGGGTATGGCAAATTGGAGCCGACCGCCCCGGGCCCCGCGCTTTGGGGGGGTGGAGGGGGCCGCGATTCGAAGTCATGATGTCAGAATACTTGGGGGGAGGGCCCATAGTGGAGTTTGCCCCAGGCCCCGCACACCCCCCCCCCCCCCGTCTCCATATGGACGGCCCTGGCAACAACACCCTTTAGGAATAAATGTAATAATGCATTTGTAACGAACACTCCAATTCAGTGACAAGTGCGGTCAAAATTATTTGAGAACGAGAAAAAATCACACAGTGCCCAAAACCTACAGCACCTCAATTTTACATCTCAGGTTTACCGGAACATTGTTTCAATGAACGGAAACAACACCCTTTAGGAATAAATGCAATGACTACTTTGGAACGAACACTCCAATTCAGTGACAAGTCAAAATTATTTGAGAGCGAGAAAAAAAACACACACACAGTGCCCAAAATTTACAGCATCTCAACTTACATCTCAGGTTTACCGGAGCACTGTTTCACCAACAGCTGGTGGTCAATGTGATGTGGGTATACGTTGTTCCCTGTTGCCCACAGAGCTGACCTATCCACGCTTCCAATTTCAGTTGGAAAGCGGTAGAACAAAAACAATCATTTGGCGCTGCAAATCGCGGACGGAGTCTGGCTCGGCCACACACGAGAGATTTATAACCAGCTTGCAATCTCCAGTTCTCGGCGCGAGACACCACCCCCCACCCCCAAGTAGAGCCATCGAACAGCTGACAGCTTCTGTAATATCAAGCAGCAGCAGCGTCGTCGTCGTCGCATCGATCCCAGCGAGAATCCGCGAGATTCGTTATCGATTGCGCTGCGATGCAAGGTCAGGCGAGCTTAATAGGCCATTTGTTTAACGGTTTCACAAACCGCACTGCTGATGAGACTCAGAAAAAAACGAAACCCATCTCGAGTTTTTGCCTGCTCGAGCAAGTTCTGCTGGTGGGGGGGACGACGACTTAGTGTTTTAAAAGTTATTTCAATTTGTATTTTCCGTGGTGATCGAGAGAGAGAGAAAGAAAGAGAGAGACTGCTGTTGTATTCAGTAAATATTTACAGGTTTGATCGCATTTGATTCCCCCCTCCCAGTTACTGATGCGATGTGACGACATCGCCTCCCCACTGGGATCTCATCGCAGCACGTGGCGCACAACCACATGTCAGACTGACGGCTCCGGAAGATGACATCACGTAGCCTGCTCCCTGACACCACGTGCACACGGCCTTATTCATCCACCCTAGGGAAACAACGGGACTAGGTCGCTTGGCTATCTTCGCTATATACCAAGGCCGTAGCCATGGAGTCAACATTGGGGGAGACCAAATTTTCCAGGGGGTCTGGGGTCCCCCCCCCCCCAGAAAAAAAATCTAGATTTGAAAACTCATTTCCTGGCATTTCCTGCCTGAAATATTTAAGAAATTCACTAACAAATGGCATGGACTTTTTTTTTTACAATAATGCCCAATTAGTGTATTATATTACATTGCTCTGTTTTTTTAACCTTTTCTTGTTTCATTGTATGTAACGGAAGAGATTAGGGATTAATAAAGTACAACCATATCCACAATCATATGAACAGAAATCTATTTCATAGCAATATATTGGGGGGAGGGGGGGGGGACATTTTGAGCATATTTGAATATTGGGGGGGGGGGGGATAATTACGGCTTTGCTATATACAGACTGCATCGAAGTGCGCCTGGGGGCAGCTGTATACGTACATTGAACTTCTTTCGCACCGCACGCAGCCAACCGTGCAGATCGGAGGTGCAGCTAAAGTAAACTTGTAACGTGTGGATCGCGTGCTCTTTGCGAATGATGCCAAACGGGTTGTGGTCCGAGACCAGGACTGACGTTTGTGACGAGAGGAACGAGCGCGCTCTGACAAGCCGTACTATGTAGACGACACCGGTAATTCCGCTCAAGCTGGACTCGCGCGTTTAGCTCCCTACCAAACTGGCATGAATGTACGCAACTGTACGTTTAACTTCTTTCGCACCGTACGTAGCCAGCCGTGCTAATCGTTAGCCCAAGGACAACAGGTTTAAGATCAATTATGCGGCCCATGCAATTTGCTGACTCCACGCCAATACTGGCGGAAGCGGCTCCAACTACAGTGAGAGAGAGATAAATCAATATCTGGACTCTAAGAGTATTCTGCCTACTCTTCCACGCTGACCAGAAGCCTTTGAAGAGGCGGGAATACCTACGATTTACCCCCACCACGCGCGACTTGCCCATCAGCAAACTGGCGGCGTCGCCCGTGTTCTTTGACTGCCGAGTGGAGGGTGTAAGATACAGCACTTGCCCATTGGTTGAACTGCCGCGCCCGGAGATCGAATGAAACCGCCCGGCGCTCCGCAATGCAAGTGCGCGGTTGTCTGCCAACCGTACCAACCACGGCGGCACGCCGGCCACGTCTGAAGCACATCCATGCAAACAACAACAACAACAACTACGACAACAACAAAACACACAAGCGGCGTGGCTATTAATAAGCCACGGCTCTCAATGGCAAGAAGCAGCAGCAACAGAAGCAGCCACGAGAGGAGGAGGAGCCTTACAAGTCTGAAGGGGGTGGGGGAGGAGGAGTGTGGGGGGGTGTACGGAGCACAGCGGAGGGAGGCAGTCGCCCCGGTAACGGGAGAACCACCAGCGAGCAGCCCCTGGTAACCGGGGAACCAAGAAACCCAAAAATAACCACGACGGATGAAACTGAAGCCACGCGTAAGCCCGGAATGCTTTTGCCAATCTGCCGGGCCCCAGGGAGTTATCGCACCATTCGTGGGTCGTGGCGGGGGGGGGGGGGCAGAGACAGCATCTATCGAGCCGGGGGTGGTGGTGGGGGGGGGGGGCGTGCTGTGCTGATGATGGTGGCGTTGGCGGTGCTGATGATGATCTCTGGGCGATGGTGACCGCGCGCATCGCTCTGCCGTGAAGGAGCCAGCGAGCGCTGCGTTGCATCGTCCGCGGAGGGAGAGCAGGAGGAGAGGAGAGGAGGGGGGGCGGAGAGATTTTCCTGTCGCCCGCCTAGTCGCTTCCCCGACGGCATGGACACAGCGTGAGAGGAGGCGTCCACGCTGTGTTCATTCGCCGGTGTTCCCCCTCGCGTCGTCTCTCGGCGTTCGTCGGCGTCCGTCGTCGTCGTCGTCAAACCGAGGCTCGCTGCGACGGGCGATGGACCGCGCGCAGCGCACGAGGTGCCCACATCCCGGACACGCAGCACGCGCACACACAGGAACAAAGGTCCCCCTATTACCCTGTATAGCCTGCACGGACTTTTAGGGGACAAGTGCTGTTAGCGAGCACCTACCAGGTTAGGCACGGCGCGCACGAGGGTGGGTGGAACAACAACAACCACGCCCGGCCGCCTTTGTCTCCCTAGTGGCCGATGTTTTATTTATTTATCCCACGCCGCACCATGTATTCGCGCACATAACAAGGACAAAGACACGCGTAGACACACACACGCGCGCGCGTGCTGCACACCCACACACATAGGCAATGTAAATGTATAACATTATTGCCCACCGCTGCTGTTATTGTTCAAGCGTCAAGGTCACTCGGTCACGTGCGCGGCGCACTTGCAACGCAGCAGCAGCAGCAGCAAGCAGACAGCCTCGGTTTGTGTCGGAGTTATCAGAACGCTGAATGAGTCAGGCCTTATTGACAGCCCTCCTCCACCACCACCACCATCACCACCAACCTCGTTCTATCACCTACCCCCCCCCCCTCCTCTTCCATCATTTCCCCAGCTCTCCCCACCCCGCCAGCCCAATGTTACCCTGCGAGAGACACGCACAAAGGTCCCGTTCGGGCTGTTCGGTGATTCTCATCACGTCCAGTGCGGTGGTCTCCCCGTCAATGTTTGGACGGCGCTTCGCGTGCCTCCGCCGCGCCTTTGGTCAATGTGTGCATATGTGCCATGGATAAGTGCCATGGACCTGAAACGTCGACTCGCGTACCGATATCCTTTTAACAGCAACAGTGTTGTTGACGGGCGTGTTGAGGTTGTTGTTGTTGTTGTTGTTATTGTGGGCTTGTTGCACCACTGCTAACCGAATGCTGTGTACCAATGCGCTGCACTTGCCAATCCACGGCTTTCCGGAGTTGTTTGACCATACTTCACCACGCTTGGTCAGCGCGTGTCGCAGCAGTAGACGTGATCGCACAGGAGTGCAGTGTTGCTGCACTGCCTTCTTTCGTCGACAGCGTGACGTTAGCTAACGTTGGCTGTGAGTGAGTTGTTTATCCCAAATATCGTGGTGGTGGTGGTGGTGGTGGTCATGATGATGATGATGGAGTATTGTGATGCCGACGAGGGTGATAATGATGATGGAAGCTCACGATTGTCAGAATGTCAATATTTAAAAAAGAAACGCATTTGGAAGAGCGAGCTATCAATCCAAAGCATTTGTACAACATAGCCTTCTAGAATTCACACACAGCTTCAGCACACGATGCATGACGCGTGCTCTCATTGCAAGGACGGTCCCTCCTGATGTAGTGTTGGGATCGTTCGTTCAGCACCGAAGAGCTGCTTTCACTGGATGATTCAGTGGAACATTGCAAAGTGCCCTTAGAGTTGGCAACGCGCCAAGTGTATTGTCACAAGCGGCGTGCATGGAGCAACAGCGAAGAGTGATGGCTGTGCCGCACCGATGAGCCCCAACGAGGGCAAAACCGGTGCGTGGTTGTTTCACCGCATCCTGTTTGGGGTGGCCTAATTTATTTTGATTTTTTTAACTCGTTCAGTTCAAGTTTTTTTTTTGTGTAACCAGAGTAAGAACTCAAAAGACCAGGATAGTCTCATTTGCGAGAGTGATCCGGGTCATTAGTCTGCCAATAGGCAGTACGATGATTGCTGCTGCATGTGATGCTAATTGAGCAATTTTGCGGTGTAAATTTTATAATATTGGCAAATGTGGACCCTGAGGCCAGCAACACACCGGCCTGCTCTTGTGAATGACATCGGGTTGTTTTTGTTTTTTACACAAACACAGACGGCACTAGGTGCTCTCGTGGCGATTACCCAGGGCAGCCGCTGCATTTCGAACCGTGAACTTCTGCAAGAAGTTGCTAACGCACTACCGCTGGGCCGTGTGCCACCGCCCTAGAGTTGGTGACCTGAATAATAGTAAATCATAATAATGACGATACTGGCATGAGTTCAGCTCCTGAGATGGTGGTCTAGACAAGGCTGAGAGCATTATCCGTGCAACAGTGGTGATCACTTCATTATGCGAGGCGTGATGGCAGCTGTGCCTTCCTGCTGTCTGTGAGCAGCGCACTCCTGCGTGCATTTGTTTCAAGCCTGCACGTATCGTTCTCCCGTTCTGTTGGTGTTTCACATCGTTTACAGGCAGTGTTAGATCTAACTAAGTTAAACAATTTTTATTTCACCAGGTAAGGCCCACTGAGCTATGTAGTTTTTTTTTTTTTCCCGAAGCGACCTGGCCACGAATGATAGCTCAACGAAGCGGCGTATCGTGTGCAAATGTACAGCAGCCAAATACCCTAAACGCGTGATGTTGTTTCTAAATGTGGAGGGGAAAAAACCGGAGGACCAGGAGAAAAATCCATGCGACCACGTGGAGAGAGACACGCAAAACTCCAAACATGCAGCAGGCGTCAGGGTCGGGATCGAACCCACGAACTCCTGTAAACCAGGCGAGGCAGTTAATATCACGCCCCCATGGCGCCGTGTGAAGTGCTCATAACCACACCTGCCAATAAGGAGGGTCTGGCATAAGCCAGCGATTATACGGTGAGCTGCACAATGGGTGGACACTTAAGATGGGTCACTTTGAGTGACATCGTCAGTGGCTAGTACTCAGTGAGGAGCGCTTCCAACTCTTAACTGGAACCCAATTGATATGTAGATGACCAAGCGTGCGTGGGTGGCACGCTTATTTGTTTACATCGGGCACTCGCTGCCGCTGCAATGCCCGATGCGTTTCTCGTCAGTCACGATGAAGCGATTGAATGTGTTTATTGTCGCTCGCCACGAGAGCACCGTACTGAAAATCAGGCCTTTGTCCGTTATATATATATACACACGAACAACCACATATCGTGGTGGCTTAGTGGTTAGACTAAGCAGCTCTCAATTAGCAGTTTGTGAGTTCAAATCCTGGTTGGGGGTTGACTGGGCCCATCATCCCCCGGGGTCTCTAAAATGCATACCACTTCGTAGGGAAGTCAATGGATGTTTTCCAATGAATAGCTTCACCCTCATCCCCCCTCTCCATGATCTGAAAAATGGAATTTCCACCACTGGCTCAGGGCTGTAAACGGGAGATGAATACCGCAACGATACTCTGCTGGAAATAACTTCATGGTGATGTCACGCGGAATGCAAAGTATGATGGGAGGACCGATCCTACGGCCAAATTCCTGATTTTTCGAATCTACAAAATCACCTATCTAGGTATGTATGTTGAACTTCTTTTGCGCACCACACGTCCAACCGTGCTAATCGGAGGTGCGGGGGAAGGACAATAAACGAAACACAAAAAGCAGTTATCAAGAAAATAGTTTTCTATTTCGACTTAAAAGTGCATAGCTCCAGTGGCTTCTGAATATCATTTCATTTCACTGCTGGATCAAAGCCTCTCCTCGCCGTTGCCATCTATCATGATCCTGCGATGTTAATAATCCACCAGCAGATGCGCTGATTTCATCGCTCCATCTCCTTGGTGGAGGCCCTCTCGGACGCGTTCCATTCCTTGGCTGCCACTTCATCACCACTCTTGACCGCTGTCCTGTCCGAAGCCCCGCTATCCCTTCGTACCAGTTTGAATCGCATAACGAAATGATGGATCTCATGCTAAAAATTTCTTGCTCGATTAAAACAAAAACTGCTGGCAAGACCTTTGTTTGGGTACGTTCACATTACCGTAACTGAACACCCGCGTGTAACCTTTGGCACCACGCACAGGCGTACGGTTGCACGTGATTACCGATGCCTGTGTCGTCGCACCTGTGCCAGTTTTGGCAACGCAGCGATCCGCGTGCCACGCGCGATGTCTACGACGAAGAGCCGAGCAGTGCCCAAATCATGGAATGGTGGAACTTAATATCCCTTCCTTTTTATTTTTTTAACTAAATTCAAACAGCACTGTGTGTCGTTTGTAGTCGAGTCTGGGCCAGTCCCTGACAAGAAATGTCAACACATTGGATTAACGTTGTATTTGCCATTCAAAACAGGCCTTCTACAACAAAACTATTAGCGTATTTCAAGTCTTCAATTGGTGGCTTAAATGGCAGTAACATGGTTTTATACGGGCAATGTTTGCATGTGCGTGGGAGGCACTGCCCTGCGAAGCCGTCGAGCCGAGTTCGATCCCAGCTCACCGCCAATATCAGTGACAAATATCTCAACCGGTCCTGGGCATCTCCTAGGTTAACTCTGCCGTAACGGAGCAGCTGATTCGGTGTGCAAGCATCAGCGTTGGGGAGGCAAAGGCGGCCAGGCGTGGTACTGGCCAACTGCCTCTAACAGCACTTGCCCCAAAATTCTGCTTATGACTATATGGGGGATCTTTGTCTTGATGTGTGTTAGGAATGGTGGTGTATGGGTTAGTCGATTGCAATACGAGCCTGGCGAATTGAGTCACCACGGCTAACAATTAGCAAGTGGTATCAGAACTTGTTCTGGGCCTTCCCTAGTTTGACTCGGCTGGGAATCAAACTCACGTCGCCGGGTTCGTAGCAGAGTGCACCCACCTCCGCTGTGGCACCATGGCTCTCCGACATACACACACCATACATACATACACACACACCATACACACGCACCATACACACGCGCACCATACACACGCACCATACACACGCACCATACACACGCACCATGCACACGCACCATACAAATACACACCATACACACGCACCATACAAATACAAAATTACCTCTAACTTTCTTGTTTGCATTACATTTCACTTGCGAGTTTACGGTTATGTACAGCATGCGTATCTGGCACGCTGTTTGTTGGACTTAAACAAGCTGCCTCTGGGGGGGGGGGGGGGGGCGTGGTGGGGGGAGACTTTCCGGAAAGTGGAAGTCAGGTGTTGTTGCACCCACGTGTTAACTATAAAACATAGGGGTGGGTGAGTGTGTGGGAGGGAGGGGAGTTTCAAAGAACGTTTCATAGTCTCAGGAGATGACCGCATGCTTTGCTGCGGGGCTGTTGTGTTT